ACCCTATCTGTCCCTGCTACATTCTCAGACTAAAAGAACATAATGTTTCTGTGGGGAAATTTACCCAGAATAAACCCCCAGATACAAATTCTCTGGAAAAGAATAAGATGACACATTTTTCAAAAACAAGTTTTGATGTTTCCCCTAAGCTCCGGCTTCGTTTCTCTCCGGACAGCCATGGGGTAGGGGTGCGGGGGCGGGGCGGGTGGGGGGATCGAATGAAGTCTCTGGTGGCAGTTCAGTCTTCTTTAGCCTCATCACTATGATCACCATTAAGTTCTTAGCCTACATTTCTCTGATTCAATCTCGGAAATGGTTTTTAGAATTTCTTGATCATCTTAATTGTTTCTGTCTTTCAGGCTTTTACTATGAAATTAGCTACTGTCCTTTCTTTAAACTGTCTGAAAATTGAGACTTAAATTGTATTACCAAGTAGCTGAGCGGAACAGTGCCCTCCTGGGGTCCTAAGGGAGGCCCGCCTCTGAGAGATGCTGTCTTGTCAGCGAACAGGGCCGGAAGCCCAGATCCAGAGCCGGCCGGAAGCCCAAGGCATGAGCGGCTCTCTCCTTGCTCACAGCGTATCAGAGGATAATGCATCGAGGTGCTGGCAGAGGCATCCTGCCTGTCCACTGCTTCGTCTCATTGTGTACTCAGTGTGGCCCAGATTACGTATCCAGTCTCATCTCCTTTTGTCCACCAATCCTCCACCTGTGGCCACGTGTCCCAGGCCATCCCTTAGTTCTTTTGTTTGTTTTAAAATATATTTTTATTGATTTCAGAGAGGATGGGAGAGAAAGAGAGAGAGAAACATCAATGATGAGAAAGAATTATTGATTGGATGCCTCCTGCATGCCCCCTACTGGGGATCGAGCCCACAACCTGGGCATGTGCCCTTCACTGGAATCGAACCCGGACCCTTCAGTCCGCAGCCTGACACTCTATCCACTGAGCCAAACCAGCGAGGGCAGTTCCATCGTCACCACCATCAGTCTCTAAAAGCTCTTGGGCTCTGCAGGCCAGCACGGAGCACTACAAATGTGTCTCTCACGGCACTCAATGGCAGTTCATGAGAAACGCCCACACTCCCCAAGGAGCCCCCCAGAATGGATAGCACTGTTGTGCTTTTTCATGTACCCATCCCTCTTTTCCCCACCGTCCTTCCTTCCCCCTCTTCCTCCAAGCAGAAGGTATTAGACAGGGATAAATGATGTCACCTGTAGAGAAAGGCGATAACACCCAATTACCTAACTTATAACTTGCTCTGTGACTAGGTTAGAGTTTCGCTTAAAAGCAGAGGATTCTTTGTTCCTTTAAAGTTCTCTTGGTCCGTATAATTCTTGCCTAAAAGGTTGGGACTTGGAGGAATTGAAATAATCTCTTCTAGTAAAGGTGGCAATGCTGGTTCTCCATCCAAAGAGCAAAACTGCTCTTGCTAAGACTCATAGCAACCCGTGTGTCCCTTGGCTCTGAAAGCAATGAGGTGGACCTTAACGACCCTTTCAATGTGATGGCTGCTTTTCTGACTGATTGTCGTACACAAATAACGCAAGGCGGAGGAGAATCAAAGCTGCGTGTGTGCAGGGGCAGGGCCGGGAACCAGGAGACGGGTGGTGTTTCTCCTTTGCCACAAAGGGGAGATCCATGTGGCAGCCACGGTCGGTACCTCCTGGTCCCTCGGCGTTGCACAGAGCTAGCGGCAAAGGGCTAGGAGCTACAAGTGGTAGATGGGCACTGGCCACAGGAACCAGAGACCTAGAGAACAGTCACCGAAGCCATGCAGCTCATTGTGCCGGACTGCGCGCCCCCGGCTGGGCCTATTTTGCCTGGCTGGCCGGTCCTGCATTGGCTCTTGGGCCTTAGCTTCTTAAAGGTACCACCTAGCACCTGTCAGTGCTTATGCTGGACAGCTGATAGTGCTGCGTCACTGTCGTCTTCACCGTCACCACCATCACCACCACATCAGCAGTTTCCCCTTGATGCAGACCAGTCCGCATTCCCCAGCTTCCGGGAGAGCTACACTCTTAGCGGGATCTGAGAAGTACTCTCTTCTAAGAAGGCTGCTGAGAGGGTTTTCGGGAGTTGACACCTTTACTAACTTTCTGCAGCTTTTATCTAACGTTCCTAACATACGTGCTATTGGGATTTATGGGCAACTGTACTGCGTCCTGCAACCATAAGGACGGTATGGAAAGAAGCTATTAGATTTATCTACCACAATCATTTGTTTGTTCTCATTGGTGGGAGATAAGGAAGAATGCTTGGGGGGAGAGGGGTGGCAGGGAGAGATAGAAAAGTTGCTTCTGCCACATGCAGCGTTTCCCAGAGGAAAAAATAGACAACCTGTCTCCAGTGGGCATTGTTTCCACATCCTATTACAATATTGAAAAGGACATGAAGTCCTAAAAGAGCTTTCAGATCGCATTAGATTTCATAATTCAGCCCTGCCCATCCATGGCATGCAAAGATAATGATACAGGGGACTCCCTCAACCTGATAAAAGTCATCTACAAAAGCCCACAACATCATACATGATGGAGAAATACCAGATGCTTTCCCCTTAAAGTTAGGAAAAAGACAGGGAACATTCACTCTTGTCACCTCCATTCAACATTGTACTGTAGGCTCTAGACAGAGCAACTGGGCAAGAAAAAGAAATAGAAGGCATCCAGATTGAAAAGGAAAAAGCAAAGCTATCTTTACTTGATCTAGTATATAGAAAATCTTAAGGAATCCATTAAAAATAATAGGATAAATAATGTTGAAGATTGCAGAATACAAGATCAATATATAGATATCAATATATTTCTCTATGCTAGTAATAAAAAATGTGAAATTGAAGCTAAGAAACAATTTCATTTATAGCAGCATCAAAAGGAGTAAAATAGAAGTAAATGTAACAAAATAAGTAAAAGATTTTACACTGAAAACTCTAAGACATCATTGAAATACATTAAACAAGACCTAAAAAAATGAAAAGACACCCCAGGTTCATGAATTGGAAAACTTAATATTGTTAAAATGGTGGTATTCCCCAAATTTATCTACAGATTGGATGTAATACACATCAAAGTCCCAGCTGGCTTTTTTTTTTTTTTTTTTTTTTTTTTTTTTTTTTTTGCAGAAATTGTCTCACACTTCCCTATTTCAAAACTTACTACAAAGCTACAGTAATTAAGACAGTGTGGTGGTAGTGGCATAAGGATAGACATGCAGATCGATGAAATAGAATTACAAGTCCAGAAACAAACTCTCACTTTTATGGTCAATTGAATTTCTATAAGGGAGCCAGCCAATATAATTCAAGGGGACAACTAGCTATCTCCATGCAAAAGAATGAAGTTGGGTCCTGACCTTGCATCATATAGAATAATGGATCAAAGATCTAAATATATGAGTTAAAAATTACAAAGCCCTTAGAAGAAAACATAGGAATAAATCTTTGATTAGGCGATGGTTTCTTAGACATATCACCAGAAGCACAAGCAATAAAAACAAAAGAAGACAGACATCAAAATTCAAAACTTCTGTGCTTCACTTCAAAAAAGTGGAAAGACAGCCTGTAGAATAGGACACATTTGTAAATCACATATCTGATAAGGGACTTGTATCGGAATATATAACGAATTCTTAAAATTCAATAATAAAAAGAAAAATAATCCATTTAAAGATCAGCAAAGGACTTGAATAAATATTTCTTTCAAGAAGATATACCAATGACCAACAATCACATGAAAGATGCTCAACATCATTAATCATTAGAAAAAATGCAAATCAAAACAATGAGTTACCACTTCACACCCACTAGGATGGCCTATCATAAAAAATGTGGACAAAGTGGACAAGGAGGTAAAGGAATGTAACCCTTATTCTTTGTTGGTGGAAATGAAAATGACACAGTTGCTTCAGAAGACAGTTTTGGTTCCTCAAAAAGTAAAACATAGAGTACCATCTGACCTAGCAATTCTCGTCATCGATATCCATCCAAGAGACTTGAAAACACACTCCACACAAAATCTGCACATGAATATTCATAGCTGCATTATTCATAACAGTTACAAAGGAGAAAGACCCCAAGTGTCCATCAACAGATGAATGGATAAACAAAATGTAATACACACACACACACACACACACACACACGAATATTAATGGAGATGGATGAACCTTGAAAGTATGCTGTGTGAAAGAAGTCAGACATAAAGCACACATATGCATGATTCAATTTACATAAAGGGTCCAGAACAGGCAAATCCACAGAGACAGGAAGAAGATCAGTAGTTGCCAGGGGCTCTGGGAGGGAAATGGGGAATGACTGCTAACGGCTTTCTTTCTGGGGTCATGAACTTGCTGTGGAATGTATACTAAGGTACAGCTTTGTGAATATATGAAAAACACTGAATTGCACATGTTGAAAAGGTAAACTTTTGGTATGTGAATTACATCTCAATTAACCAGTTATTTAAAAAAGAAAGGAAGAAAAAGAGGAAGAGAAATAAAGAGAACTGTACCGAAACCAGTCTGTGATGGTTTAGGTCACGTCACCCCTGACAGCGCCAATGCCACCGGCTCTTTGCATTCATGAGCTTGTGTTTAGTTGTGCTTTTCTTTTCTTTCTTTCTTTTTTTTTTAAATTTTGAGGCTTCAATTCAAGTCATCTAGCCAAATAGATTCTCAAACATGTGTTTCCAACATATCTGAGTCCATGGCCAAATGATTCCCATTCAGATAGGAAATCATAACCAAATTCATTTTTGTCAGAGATTAACAGACAGGAAACCTCTAGAGACCCACATACTTCTCTTTCCAAGCATGGTGACGTATGTATAATTATTAAGTTGCTAATAGGCCCCGTGTAGTGCCAGGTTAATATTCTGAAAATAATAGAAAAGGTAGAGTGAAGAGCAGATGGAATGAAACACACAGCGACATTCAAATGTCCCCGAGGAAGCCCTTTCTATTGCCACATGAAGAGTATATTACAAAAGGAGCGGTACCTGTGGGTGTGCCACGGCTTTGGGTAGCTGGCCAGCATCCCTCTTTTGAATTGCTCAGAAGGCTGTATGGCATTTACTTCAGCAATTGTCACCACACCCTTGTGGGCGGCCAGCACTGTGCCAACAGCACAGTCCAACCCCAGGTCAGCCAGCCAAGGGACACGCAGTTATGGCGTGAGATGTCGAGCACAGGTAGGTGTGAGGCCTGGCTGATCCCTCTAATGACGCCTCAGCACAGAGGACTCAAAGGGCATCTTCTTGGACCAATAACGTCTCTAACAAATGATGGATTTGAGATCTCATTATTCTGGATTTTCCAAGTGTGTCTGCCATATCCTAAACAGATGGTCTGTATCACACAGTATGATTGTTTTTGATGGTAACAGGAATCATATGGCAAACACTTTCTAAAAAAAAAAAAAAAAAAACCCCACTGGATTAGATATTGAAAATTGGACCTTGCTATTTTTTTCACTTGACTTCCTGTTTTATTTCCAGAAATGCATAGGAATATTGAAAACCTATATAAAGAGTATTTTTGAAATGAATTAATAGCTACATTTGTTATATGGGATACAATTTGAGAATTTTTGAAGGATCTGTAAGATAAGAGATGCCTCTTTTAGATTGCAAAAATGGAAAGGCCAAGAACATAGTCAGTTTCCCTTATGTGACATTTTGGGCCTCAGTTTCCTCATTTGTAAAATAAAAGTCTTGACTAATCTCTTGGGTCCCATGTAGCTATTTGGGCAGGGACAGATGTGTGGGGACAGCATCCATCTTATTTACCAGCATATCCCCCATGCCTGGCACAAGGCTTGGAAAATAGGATGCGTTCAAAATGTTTTTATTGATTTCAGAGAGAGGAAGGGAGGAGGAAAGAGAGATAGAAACATCAATGATGAGAGAGAAGCACTGATCGGCTGCCTCTCCCATGTCCCACACTGGGGATTGAGCCATGACCTCTTGGTTCATGGGTCCACCCTCAACCACTGAGCTACACAGGCCGGGCTCAAAAATATATTTTTAATAAATAATGTCCACAGTATTTTGTTTTATAAGATGTTCTTTGATATCTCTTTGATTCACTAGAGTTGAAATTAAATGTATCCTAACACCCCCTCCCAGGAATATATCTGGGATTGGTAATGTGTTCTTATTTTTTTTCAGATTTCCTTCATTCCCAATGTACTCTGACTGATCATTCACAAAAGGATATTAGGCTTTGAAGATTTCCAAACACCTCTGGGGAGGGAATTTGTACAAGTGTTCACATGGTTTCTATTTTAAACAGTTATTTATATCTGCAGTACTTTTGACATTTAACAATTAACATCATATTTATGTTACATCAACGCTTACTTCATTGTTTTCCCTTCAAAAGTTCTTTTAAAAAAAATTTGAACATCTTCTCTGGGTTTATCTCCCTCATCTCTATTAGTTACCAGTGCTGACTCCAGCCTTTTTATTGCCAAAGTCCTACGGGAAACTTAGAGGAATGACCTATTTGTCCTTGATTTTTGCTTCCCAAGATGCACAGCCAAAGAATAGGAACTCCTTATGGAATGCATACATTTTTAGGGCATCTGTCTCTGTCTTTAACTCGACAAACATGAAAAAATAAAGTTACGTGTTTCCTTCACACATTTAAAAGCCCGAAATAGATTTAGACGTACGTTTTTCAATCCATGTGACAACCTATTAAGCAGAATGAAACAGACTGCTGGGGCCCAGCCGGCGTGGCTCAGTGGTTGAGCATCGACCTATGAACCAGGAGGTCACGGTTCCATTCCCAGTCAGGGCACAGGCCCGAGTTACGGGCTCCATCCTCAGTGTGGGGCCTGCAGGAGGCAGCCCATCCATGCTTCTCTGTCATCACTGATGTTTCTCTCTCTCTCCCTCCCCTTCCTCTGAAATCAATACAAATAAAAGAAGAAGAAACAGCCCGCCAGGACGGGTCACTGCCACCTGCCCTGGCTCCTCTCCCAGCTGGGACCCGCCGCCACGGCCTCCCCGGGAGCCCACCAGCTGCTCCCGGGCAGCTGCAACGCCTTGTGTTCCTGGTTGTCATTAAAGTCCTAGTGTCACTGCCTGACTTCGGTCTGGCTCCTCTGATACCACGGAATTCCTGCACATTATTTACTCCATGTTAGGCTCTTGACCCTTCGCTAACTGGAAGGGCTTGGAGAAGAGGCTGGGCCCGGCAGGTCCAGCTGCGAGGCATGCTGGGCAGATTCAGTCTCCTCTTACAGCGGACTCAGGAGAAGTGGTCTAGGTGCCCAGAGAGACGGAGCCGATGCGGGAGGCCCGTCTGTCCCTACGCCCCACCCTTCGGGGAAGGAGACCTCCAACGCCTCTGAGACCACAGAGCCCAACAGCCATGAGTACAAGCCATGTTGTCACAAAGCCCAACAGACCACGAGTTCCACCAGCGTGGGCTACATGCAGGGCGAGCACAGTAGGTTTACAGTTGCGAATGCGTGAAACACAGTTTATCCTTGTATTATTCTTGTATTATTATTATTATTGTAATATGTTTTTATTGATTTCAGAGCGGAAGGAAGAAGGAGAGAGAGAAACATCAATGATGAGAGAGACTCATTGATCGGCTGCCTCCTGCACGCCCCACACTGGGGCTCAAGCCTGAAACCTGGGCATGTGCCCTTGACCAGAATCGAACTCTGGGCCCTTCAGTCCAGATGCTGACACTCTATCTACTGATCTAAACTGGCTAGGGCTGTATTATTTTCCATAGGAACAACTGTAAACCTACTTTTGCCCCACCCTGTAAGTATATAATGCACATTTTTCTTTGAAAAATAGAACATCAGTTCTGTAAAGCCTGTTACCTCCGCCTGTTATCACATAAAATACTGAGTGAAGAGCATCCCCGTGCCTGAGCCGGCTGACCAGAGTCTCTCACAGAAGTCTGGGACCGAGACACAAAGGCTCACCTCTGTCTGTCCTCATTTCCCCACAGAAAGCTGTGTCCTGGGCTGTGGATCAGCAGTGTTGGGGGCAGTGTGCCCTGAGGCAGTGCAAACATCTGCAAAAGACAGAGGGGGAAACAATAAGCCTACAGAGAGAAGAGCATGCTTCCTGGCTCCCTACAGGCTTCCCGGCTCTTGGTTCTGGTCCCTCAGGAGACTGGGCTGACTCCACCCTTGGCCTGAAGTTCATTTTTCTTATGTGCAATGAAAAGTCTTTCCTAAGACATTGACTTCACAAGTTTCCTGATAACAAAGCACAACTGTAACCCTTTCGTCAAGTTCAATTGTCCAAACTCGCAAGAATCTGAACTACAAATGAGAACCCAGGAGTCATCACGTGACATCCACGGTAGAAGGTTTGTTTCTGACCCAGGATGATGCAGAGCCTCCCTCCTAGCTGCGCCTGACCCTGCCAACTACCCCTTCCTGGAAAAAAAAAAAAAAAAAGCAATGCACCAAATATCCACTGGGCAGCGGCTATATGCTCTGTACCAGGTCAAACGCTCCAGGTGAGGCCTGGGGGACCCAGACATATACGAGGAGAAACTGGACTGTCTGGCATCAGGGCAGGAACTCGCGGGCGCTTTCTTCCAGCAGTCACTGTTCCTATACTGGGACCTCCTGGCAGGGCTGACTGGCAGCCATTTCTGTTTGCTCCGCCTGGTGATTCCCTGAGACCCCGCCCCACCCAATTTACAACCCCACTCAAGCTGTGGGCAATGGCTTTTGCATATGAATGGCCTGTCCTTTCTCAGGCTAAAAACCTGTCAAACAAGCTGCAGCTGGGTCAGGTAGCCCCAAACCTATCAAAAGGCTGAAGACCCAGCACGAGCACCAGCCTGCCTTGCTTCACAGCTGGGCCTTGTCTGGGCACTTCCAAAATCTGATACAAAGAGGAGGAATCTGCAGATCTCTCTGTAGCTCCTGCTGGGTGGCCCCAGGCAGTGGCTGACTTTGCACCTCCCTGGAGACCCAAGAGCCAGTGTACCCAGTGGTCAGTGTGAGACCATACCAGATTACAACTCTACACATCCACAAGCAACACACTCAAGGGGCAGACTCAGTGAGCACCAAAGCCCCACTGAAGCAAGTCCTGCTCAATAGGGGTGTCTCTTGCATAGCAGCTCTCCCACTGTAGTCACAGCTGGTCCTCACAGCCAATTGGCCTGGAGGTCAATTCCTCCCAGTGATACCAACAGCAATCAAGACTCAACTACAACAAGACTGTGCTCACAGCCCACAAAGGGGTGCACCTAGAGCTCCCAGCTCAGGTGACTGGGGAGGCTGAGCCATTGGGCCCTATAGGACACCTACTACACAAGGCCACTCTATCAACTCAAGAAGACTTAGCAGTTCTATCCAATACATAGAAACAAACACAGGGAAGCAGCCAAAATGTGGAGACAAAGAAACATGTCACAAATGAAAGAAATGGAGGAAAGCAAACTACTGGATATAGAGTTCAAAACCACGATTATAAGGTTACTCAAGAATCTTGTAGAAACCTCCAAGGGATTTAGTGAGACTTTCAAGGATCTTAGTGAGAATGCAAAAAAAAAAAAAAAAAAAAAAGAGGAAAAGGACCAGTCAGAAAGTAAGCATACACTTACTGAAATAAAGAATATAGAGGGATTCAACAGTAGAGTAGAGGATCCTGAGAATCAAATCAATGATTTGAAATATGAGGAAGCAAAAAAGATCCAACTAGAAGAGCAAAAAGAAAAAAGAAACAAAAAATATGAAGATAGTGTAAGGAGTCTCTGGGACAACTTCAAGCATATCAATATCTGAATTATGGGGGTGCCAGAAGAAGAGAGAGAACAAGACAATGAAAACCTATTTGAAAAAATAATGACAGAAAACTTCCCCTACCTGGTGAAAGAAATAGACTTACAAGTCCAGGAAGCACAGAGAACTCCAAATAAGAGGAACTCAAAGAGAACCACACCAAGACTAATTATAATTAAAATGCCAAGGGCTAAAGACAAAGAGAGAATCTTAAAAGCAGCAAGAGAAAAACAGTTAGTTACCTACAAGGGAGCACCCATAGGACTGTCAGCTGATTTCTCAACAGAAACTATGCAGGCCAGAAGGGAGTGGCAAGAAACATTCAACGTGATGAATAGCAAGAACCTACAACCGAGATTACTTTACCCAGCAAAGCTATCATTCAGAATTGAAGGTCAGTTAAAGAGCTTCACAGATAAGAAATAGCTAAAGGAGTTCATCACCACCAAACCAGGATTATATGAAATGCTGAAGGGTATTCTTTTAGAAGAGGAAGAAGAAGAAAAAGGTAAAGATAAAAAATATGAACACCAAAGTGGCAACAAATCCGTGTCTATCAACAATTGAATCTAAAAATCAAACGAATAAAAAGTCTGATGAACAGAATAAACTGGTGAGTAGAATAGAATCAGGGGCATGGAAATGTAGCAGACTGATGATTCTCAAAGAGAATGGGGTGTCTTAGGGGTGCAGGAAGAGATTAGACAATAACCTTATATGCATGGATGCATTACCTATGGACACAGACAATAGGGTGGCAAGGGCCTGGGCGGGGTGGGAACTGGGTGGAAGAGAGCTATGTGGGGGAAAAGAGGGACATCTGTAATAATCTCAATAATAAAGAGGTTTTTTTTTAAAAGTACATGAGTCCCTGTGTTCTTAATCCTAGCCGACACTGTGTTGTCAGCCTTTGAAAGTTTTGCTGATCTGATGAATGGATGCACTCTGGTTATAAAGAAGTTAATAACCATGGCAACTAAAAAGCCTCATGGCATTTCCTCAGTACCTTCAATTATGAGGGAAAAGTCTGTGCTAACTGTGTCAGATTTTTGGACTTTCCCATTCCCTGTTTAACGCCAAGTCGTTTCCTCTTTCTCTTTCCAACTCTGTGAACACTGAAGAAAAAACAACTTTGCGACAAAATTTGTCATCCCCCGCGCCCCCTAGGGATGAGGGTTTGGAAGAATACCATGCTAGTTGCTTTATGTCACAAAAATATCCCTCTGATGGTAAAGGGCACAAGAAAAAGAATTTAGCCACATCTATGCAAATCTGTCATCACTGAGCACATGGCATAATGATGGCGGGTCAGGAGCTGAACAGCCATTACTCACAGGCTGAGAATGCCCTCATTTAAACATTCTAGAAAGTTGTTCCTTGCCCAAGAATATCTACTCCAGGGCTTTGCTCTGTACCTTAAATTCAACTATTAGAAATGAATGCGCTCAGGTCGATTTTTTTCCTATTTAAGGAATCTCCAAATGAAAACACATCTCAAACAATACATTAGTTCTTATAAATCATTGGCACCTACTTGTCACGACTCCTTCAAGAGCACAAAGGGGAGGGGACCCAGGGCACACAGATGCGATCAGGCCTAAGAAGGTGGCCATCCTCAGCTTCCGCTCCCTCATCCAGCGCAGACGGACAGGCAAAGCTTTTGTTCTTAATTTCTCGCTTAAACCTTCTGGGTAACTCCCCACCAGCCCCAGCAGTGTTCTCAAAGTGTGGTCCTGGGGTCCCTGTGGCTTCAGATCCTCTAACATAATTGTTTAAAAGGCAGATTCCTTATCCTAGACCCGGCTCCCTCAACCCTAATGACTGTGAGAGGGTCTGGAATCTGTGTTTTCAAGAAATTACCCAGCTTGATTTTTTTAAAAAACTTTTTTTTTTAACAATGAGAAGAATAACACACATGAAAAAAAGTAGTGGAAACATAAATATGCAGTACAGGAAGTTCTTACAAAGTGAGCGTCCATATAACCATGCCAAGAACAAGAAAGAGAGCCCTGTCGGCACTTCAGAAATCTTTCCAATTCCCTCCCTCCTCCCTCATCTTTACTATTCTGAGGTCTAACACTACCTGCTTGATTCTTACATTCTCTGGAGGTGGGAACCACGGTGACAGGGTGAAATCCACGCTGCTTAGAGTGTCATATGAGGCCATTGCCTAACTTGTTCTTTGCAACGTCGCCTCCTACCTCTGGCCTTCACATTTCATTCTCAAGTCCTTTGGAACCAGTTGTGTCATTTTACAACTAGTGACCCAGCGCGTGAAATTGCACGAGACCCAGACCTGTGGGAAATTGCATGAGACCTGGGACCCCATACCCCGCTGTGCCGTGGGACTCCCCCAAGTCCTGCTGTGCCATGAGACCCAGAGTCAAGTCCCTGCCCACCTGCGCTCCCCTCACCGCGCATGCAGCCTCCTGGTGACCTGTCTTTGGTTGTTATGGCATTAGGGTCACGGAGTTTTTATAATATAGATATTGCCCTAATTCATTATTCATACCCCATGCTGTTTCATTGGCCCTGTACTTGCTAGAGATGTTCCTCGTTCCTGAGTCTTTCTATTAAGGTCATCCCTCAAGACCTGTCCACTTGTCACTTCCTTTAAAAAATATACTTTTATTTTTCAGAGAGGAAGGGAAAGGGAGAGAGAGAGAGAAACATCAATGATGAGAGAGAATCATTGATGGGCTGCCTCCTGCACCCCCACACTGGGGACTGAGCATGCAACCAGGGCATGTGCCCCGCCCAACCAGGAATCAAACTGTGACCTTCTGGTTCGTAGGTCGATGATCAACCACTGAGCCACACCAGCCAGGCCCACTTGCCACTTTCTTATAAGCCTCATGACTTTCACCTGTGTCCCAGCCAAGGCAGAACCCTCGCTCTCTGCACTGTGTGACCAGGAACATCTTATGACGTGGAGCAGCTGTTCTTTCACAGTCCATTCCCCTTTCCAGACCAGAAATCAGGATGAGAGTCTACCTTTAAAATTCTCTTGAGTACATAGACTTAGTCTGTGTCCCTCAGTAGGTGCTTAATAGTTGAACAAACAAATCATCCCCAAGCGTGCACATCTTCAGAGAAGTGGCATGTGCAACCTGAACACGTCCGGGTCCGTTTGGGTCAGGTCATGCCCTTCCTTGTCGGGAAACAAGCGCAGACATTAGGAGAACGCTGGGCCTGAAAGGGAGGTGACAGCAGCTGAAGGAAGTGGGGTGGAAATAAAAGGGCAGTGGGGATCTGGTGACGCTGCCCAGATCCCCGGGGGCCCTGCAGAGAAAGGAGCGTGCGGACTGCTCCAGGCAGCCTTGGGGGACCTGCCTCTCCTGGTCCTCCCTTCTTTCTCAGATAGCACCCCTAGGAAGCAGGCCACTGAGCTGTGTGGGAGCCTAGACTGTTCTGACTTCTTTACATCCTTCCCTGCCTCTACTTATCCTCAGATTGCCCATGTGCTTATGAGTGCTCATTCTTGCTTGAGAAATGCCACCTTATAAGAAACCTGCCTATTTCTTGACCTTAGCACACAAGGAAGGTGGCATGTTCAGTTCTTCGACTCCTACCCATCCACAGTATGTGCGTGGGAGTGCAGGGCAGCAGCGGGACACAGAGGCCTTGTGTGGCTGCCCTGGTGCTCAGAGGATGTGGATCAGCAGCATCTGGGCAGCCTGCCCTGGGACCTTCGCAGCAAGGCAAGCCGTCCTGGCACAAATGAAACTCGACTGTGAGGCAAATGGAGAGGTTGGAAGAACAGGAATGGGAATGACTCAAAATGGATATAGGCCAGAAAAGATACTGTAAAACAAGATTAGCGTCTACCAAACGTGCTCTGAAAGAGAGCCCTTGCTGGTGGTTGAATCCCAGGGCGGCAGAGAGGGGTGGTTTGAGTCTGGAGGTGCACAAGGCCAGCATGGAGCCCACGCTCTTGGGAGGTGACCTGGGGGTGTGCAAGGCCAGCATGGAGCCCACACTCTTGGGAGGTGACCTGGGGGTGCACAAGGACAGCATGGAGCCCACGCTCTTGGGAGGTGATCTGGGGGTGTGCAAGGCCAGCATGGAGCCCACGCTCTTGGGTGGTGACCTGGGGGTGCGCAAGGACAGCATGGAGCCCACGCTCTTGGGAGGTGACCTGGAGGTGCGCAAAGCCAGCATGGAGCCCACGCTCTTGGGAGGTGACCTGGGGGTGCGCAAAGCCAGCATGGAGCCCACGCTCTTGGGAGGTGACCTGGGGGTGTGCAAGGCCAGCATGGAGCCCACGCTCTTGGGTGACAGCTGTGCTTGTGAAATGAGGAGAGCTGAGACCCGCAAGTGCGGTCTTGGAGACAGTGACTCCTCTGTCTTCCCCTAAAGACCACAGTGGCCTACAAAAGGGTCTCCAGCAGCACCGACCAGCACTGCGGTCAGTTTGGTGGCAACACAGGACCAGTGAGAAACAGTGACATCAGAGGCTGGCCTGACACCAGTTCTGTCACTGTTTGGATGTGGGAGCCCAAGGAACTAAAGCCACTCTGAATGACAAAGCCTTGGGATGGGCAAGTCCCTGGAGTCGGGGAACCTGCAAGAAGATAGAAGTGGATGCCTGCTTGAACAATTAATCAGAAAAATAAATGACTGTATTCGCAACGACACATTAAAGCAGTTCAGGCAAACTTTATCTGCACCTGTCTGACAGGTGGTCGACTCTCAGTACACGCGGGTTCTACAACACTGTTACCTATGAGGGCTCAATTTATTGCTGGGTGAGTTCCTGATTTTTGTTGTCCTCTTCAAACAAGTAGGTAAATATAGTACAATTTTGCCTTAATTTTCATTTCATTGTAAACCACTTTTAAAGTAAGATCTTTGTTTAAAATAACATTTAAAAATTTCCCGATTTTCAAACTAATGCATGTTTGTGGTTGAAATTTTTGAAAATTAGAAAACCATAAAGAAAATAAAAATTACCTATAGTATCATCAGCCAGAGATAACTACTGGTAGCATTTGGTCAATTTCCTGCCATATTTGCTTAGGTGGAGAGATTACAGAATGTTCTGCTCTGTTTTGACCAGTAATATTTTACCATGAGCATTTCCCAACACTATTAAATATTAATTGAACATATCCCATCAAAAAGATGAAATATAAATCAACAATCATAATTTTGAGTGTTTTGGTTTTTCAATTTATAAATCAAGTTGTGATAAATATTCTCTTCTTAGATGTTAGTAAACTTTGGATAATATTCTAGAAGTGAATCTGTTGGATCAAATCACATGAACATTTTGAAACTCATGGTTCAATTTACCAACCTGCCCTTCTAAAGGTTGTTACCAGCAATTTGCATAACAGCCCCTAACAACAGGGAAATCTGGGAACTTTTATTTAAGGAACATATTTTATAGTTGGAAAGAACTCTCACTCTCACTAATAGAGACTGTTCTTAGAGTAGGAGGTAAAAAATATAGCAATAGATTGAAAGATCCTTAAAATTTTTGACTACTACATATTATTGCCAATCCTGGGCCAGCTGAGTCATGATGTCTAAATCTGGGTAAGCTCAAAAATATAATTAAAACTGTAAACATGTTACTTGGCAGTTATATGTGAACAGAATCATGTTTGATTTACCTTTGTTTCAATAGTTTTAAATCTCTTATTGTACAACACAGACACTGTCCTTTCAAAGTGTCGCTTAGAAGGCAGTCAGCGTTGAGTAATTTGTGGTGACAATTAGCTCAACTCATTATTAACATACTCACTTTCTTTATATCTTAGCTGGCATGGTGAAAGCACTTGGTGTTTTTTGAGCCCATTCTACTTGTCTTTCCTTTTCCTGTTGTACACCTGCACCTGATGCATGCACCACTTCTTCCTGTCTACCTGAAGGATACGCGCAGGCTCTCCGCGGTGAGGACAGGCTGGCCGACTGCGGCTCTCCTCCGTTCTTCCTGTGCATCTGTCCCAGCCACTCCATCCCAGCACTGCCACCTGCCCCAGGTCCAGAGCACACTTTCATGGCCCAGAGGCATTTATGTGAAGGTAATTCTTCTCTGCCTCTTCTTTTTCCCTCCTCAGGACAGTCCTGTACTTGGGTCCTTTTTCTTTGGTTTATTACTTCTCCCTGAATAGTCATGTCCATTATAGTCAGCTTCTCACAAGTGCAGTTGTCTTCTTTCCATCCTTTGATCTCTCCTCATTTTCTTCCAACTCTTGCCCATTTATTCTAAGACTCTCCTCTTTCCATGCTCTCTTCCTCTGGCCTTGCTCCCTTTTAAATATCTATATTCCAGAGGGAGGAAGGGAGAAGGAGATAGAAACACCAATGATGAGAGAGAAACATTGATTGGCTGCCTCCTGCACGCCCCACACGGGAGATCGAGCCTGCACCCCAGACATGTGTCCTGACCAGGAATCAAACCATGACCTCCTGATTCATAGGTCGACACTCAACCATCTACATTTGAATATTTTAAATCTACAACGTACATCCAAAGCTTTAAATTTCAAATCACAAAATGTGAGAATTTTAAATTATATTTCTGGAAATATGAATACTGAATATAATTCAGTTAATTGCAGGGCCTCCACCACACAGAGCAGAAAAATCCGTTAAGTGTAGCATTGTTCTGAGGGAATAACAGAACAGAGAACAGAATTGTACTGTATCTTAGATCTTGTAGGTCATAAGCCATGCTATTCTTTCTCTCTCCTGAGAACATTTTAAGTCAATTAAGAGTTCTTTTGTTTTGAATCACTGAAGCATTTTAAAGTAATATGTCTTTCTGAAAGTAGTAAATTAATGTTCCCTCAGTGAAATTTTCACTCAGATGTCAGAACCACTACCAACTTTCTACATTATTAGTTTTACTAAAAAACTTTTTTAGTTCCACAATGTGGAAATGTTTTTTTAAATCTAAATAATTCCTTATTTTTGCAAAAGCACTAATAATTGAAGTATTTTTAACAATATTATTCCTTTTAATCCTGTTAAACATATGTTTTTCTGAATTTAAAAGAATAAGATACACTTACAGGATGGAACAGAATATGGAATAGACACCATAACTGTTCTTACAGGATGGAATGCTTTCTCTCTGCAAACCACGAGGCCTAGCAGTGGGAGAAGGCTGTGTGTGTGTGTGTGTGTGGGTGTGTGTGCGCGCCCGTGTGTGCGTGAGAGATGGAGATGGTGTTTTTAAGGGTGGGATGGGTGACAAAAGTGGTAAGGAGATAATAAGAATCCGAGTTGTCTCAGATACAGGTGAATGCCTCTTTTTGAGCAGTTGAATTGTTGTCATATAGACATACAGAATTGGATGCCTACAAGCTAAAAATTTTATCTTTTCTTCACTTTCCTTCCTCCCAACACCTGCCCCAGCACCAAAGGACACTGAAGACACCACAAAGTGGGCCAAAAATGCCATTCTTTTTTTTTGTGTGTTAATCCTCACCCAAGGATATTTTTTTCATTGATTTTTGAGATTAAAAGGGAGGGAGGGAGACATAGATTGTTTATCTTCCTGATTGGGGGAGGGGTGGACAACCAGGGATCAAACCTGCAACCTAGCAATGGAACCTTCAAACCTTCAACCCTTGCATGCATGGGCCAAGGCTCTAACCACTGAACCCCACCAACCAGGGGCAAAAATGCCATTCTTAATGTGGAAAACATACCATCTAAACATGCTTAGAAAACAAACAAACAAACAAACAAACAAACAAACAAACAAGGAGAGATGTCAGCGTTTCCCTGCAGAAATAACCAGTTGCAAGGCAGAAGAAACAGTGTCTGCCCTGACACCTTTCCCTTCGCCTCATGGTCAGTGGTGGAAAGACACATACAACTCGCGAACAGGATTGAACCTTATTTCTCCCCAGGCTGGGGACAAGTCTCCCAGGAGGCTCAGTCCAGTTACAGCTGCTCATTTTGTGACTTGTGAATCACTGATGGTTCATCTTCGCGGAAGAAAGCTATTTCCCTCTAACTGCTCATCGCCAGCAATGTTTGCACAACATCAGGAATCCAGAGAATAACCCGAAGAGAAGACATTTCAGACTTCATTGCCTGACAACTTAACTTTTATCTTTCCCAGAAACTGTATTTTATAGCAACGTTCTCTTTAACAGAACAAGGTGCACAGATGCAAAACCAGGACAATTAGGCTGAGACAAACTTCCGGGGGTGATTTCTGCAGGAGAAGAATTGGGCGAAGCAAACATGCTTACTCATTTGAAATATCAACACAACTACCTCGCACAGAGCCTTTTACGGACACTGGAGAAAGGCTTAAGTATGTACACAGGCTGTCCCCCCAAAATGTATACACACTTTGAATGTAATTATAAAGGCGGTGCTTATTAAAATACACTTCATTTGCATTTAACAGCTATCAGCTATGAAAGCGTGTATACATTTTGGGGGGACATCCTATATGTTCCATTGTGGCATTACTCCTACAACATTTTCCCAGAAAGAAAAGAAGAAAGCTTCGGTACTGGAATAAGATCTCTTTCTTTCACTGCTATCATACCCCCCATTGCTCCAACATCAGGATGTGGTGTGAAGCATTTCCCATCGCAAAGAATGCCTTGTGTCCCCAGGCAGTGGGCATGCTCGCAGGCCGACCAGGATGTGGGCGTGGCCGCCAAAGGGACTCTGCCCGCATTTGGCTGGTTCCACCTTCACTAAGCGCTCTCCACCCTTCAGGAACACAACGCTCAACACACGGGGTCTTTCATTTTCCCATCTTTGCACAGGAAGGAAGAATAGATTTCGGGCAGTTGTCTAAGTGTATTTTGGGAGGCGTTTTAATACTTTCTTTGGTTAGAAAAGTTCATGCAGGCTAAACTCAACAATTCTACATCGTGCCGTGGGCACCCTCCTTTAACAAACACCCAGGACTGTTACCGCGGCCGGGCTTCCACACCATGGAAAGGGAAAATGTTAACCAGCAAATAGCAGGCAGGTTTTGAGGAGGGTTGATGAGGTTGGAATTAAGTTACCAGCAAGCAAGACCCTTGTCAAAGCTGCACTTTGGGTTGGTCGGCTCCCATCCCCCCCGCCCCCCTCGCAGAGCCGGGGTTGCGGTGGGGAGGGGGCACCATAGGCGAGGCAGGTCCTCTGTGAACCCCGGTTTTCCACCAGCGCCTGCACCTGCCGCCCTCACCCACGCGGTCGCAGCCACCTTCCCGGGGCCCCTGGCCATAGGGGCGCCCGGGCCCCCCCGCCTCCAGGGGCGAGGGCGTGGGCGCACCGGCGCTCGGATCCCCGGGCCCAGCGCGCTCTGTATTTTTACGTTCAAGCCGGTCTCGGGGGGAGTCGGACTTGGCGGGGTGTGCTCCTCGCAATACTATATCGGGAACCTCACACGTTAAAAAAAAAGACTTTTTCTTTTTATTGCAAACCTTCCCGGTTCCCTCGGCAGCTGGAGAGCAGGCCCGCGGCGGCGTCCCCTCCCCGCCGCCCCCGCCCGGAGCCGGAGCCGGAGCCGGGAGCCCGAGCGCGGGAGCCGCCCCCCGCCGCCCACGCGGAGCCTCCAGCTGCCGTGTGAATGGGCCGCCCTCCGGGGCCGCGGCGGGGGCGGCGGGGAGAGGCCGTGCCCGGCCCCGCGGCCGCCACCCCCCTCCCGCGGCGGCCCACGCCGGGCTCTGCGTCACTCGGCCGCGCGTGGGCGGCAGCCGGAGCGGCGCTGGTGGCAAGAGCGGAATCTCCCGACGTGACAGCGCGGGGGCGGCGGCGGGGGCGGCGGCGGGGAGGGCGGGCGCCGCGCGCAGTGCCGCGGGGAGCCGGGGGCGGAGGGGAGGGAGCGGGAGGAGGTGGAAGGGAGGGAGGAAGGAGGGAGGAGGGGGAGGAGGAGGGAGGGCCGGGCGGGGGAGGCGCCACGGCCGCAGCCCGCGCGCCCCGAAGCGGAGGAGCTGCCGCCCGCGCGGCTGGGCGAGAGCCGTCGGGGCTGCGGGCGGGAGGCGGGCGATCGGACTGGCGGGGAGCTGAGCGCGCGCCCGCCGCCGTCCCTTCCCCCCTCGATGGGAGCGGGGGCGTCCCGGCCGCCGCCGCAGTCTGTGCAGGGAGAGCCGGGGGCCGGCACGGAGTCGGGGCTGAGCAGCCTTCGGGGGAGCGCGCGCCCGGACCGCTGGCCGAGTACGTACCGACCGGCGTCCGCGGGTGCGGGACGCGCGGGCACGGGGGTGGGGGGGCCGAGGGAGCCGGCCCCGCGCCGCCGCCGCGGGGAGAGGGCGGCATCCGGCTGGTGTGGGCGATTCCCGGAGAAATGCGGCCGCGGGGGCCGCGGGACGAGGACGAGCCGGGCGGCGGGCCTGACTCGGGAGGCTCCGCTCGGGGGAAGCCGGGGTGCCGATCCCTGCCCCCCGGCGGGGTGGGCGCGCGGGGCGCGGGGTGGGGGCCTCCCCGGGCCGCGTCCCGGTTGGCTGGCTTCCCGGGTGGGAGTCCGGCGCTCCCAGTGCCCGGCCTCGTCCCGGGCATCCTCGCCCGAGCGTCGCGCGCTTGGAAAGCGGAAGGCGGGTTTGCTGGGAAGTGGCTGGCGAACTTGGCGCCGGGCGCGGGGGAACGAGTGTGGAATCTGCACACACACGTGGGACACGAGGCTGGGACGCAGAGGTGCGTGGCCTGGCGCGTGTAGAAGCGCCGCGAGTGCTGTCAGAGGGTTCTGGCCGGCAGCCCCGGGGCTCCCAGCGCCGGCGAGGAGAAAGGACGCGCAGGAAGCCCGCGGAGGTCGGCGGAAGGTGCTGGGGTAGGAATCCGCCCTGACCGGGGTCGCTGGCCGTGCTCTGCAGCTGGGGGCCTGGAGGATTCCTTGACGCGCATAGACTGCACTCTCTCACACCAGCAGGTCTTGGAAGCATTCACAATTTGGGGATAGCTGTCATTTTAAAATCTCATCCGCGTTCACCTGTCACTACCAGCCGGTTTGCCAGTGATGTGTCTGCAAACTTGCAAACTCACGGAGTGCAAAGATCAGAAGCTGCAAGGGAAACGCTCAGGTCTTGTTTAAAAATATTTTGGCAGTTTTAATAGGAAATATTAGATTGCAAAGGAACAGAGGAGCGGAATTTAAAATGGATTAGTCACGTAGGCAGCGCTAGGCTGTGTTGTTAGGAAAGTGCTCGCAGTGAGTTGCCTTCTCAGGTTTTCACTTTCTGGAAGTTCCTCCCGGGAAGCAGCAAATGATGGCGTGCCATACCGTACGGTGGGTTTGGGAGAAACTGGAAGAGAGGACGCACAGCATTTCCTTTCTTT